GGGGGGGGGGGCAGGGGCGGAGGTGGGGGTGACGGGGATTGCGGACGGGGTGGGGGGGGAGGTGGGCCTCGCCCAGGGGTACTTCGGCGTGTACGATGGCCACTGCGGGTCGGAGGCGGTGCAGTACGTGCGCGATCGCCTGCATGCCGTCGTTGGAGAGCACCCCTCCTTCTGGAAGGTAGGGTTTCGTCTGGAAGGTGTACCTGCTTTTGAAATGTATGATTGTTTCTGGGAGGTAAAAATGCTTCTGGAAGGTATGACTCGCTCCTGGAAATGAAAGTTTGTTGTCGAAGACCGAATGAATAAGGTATGCATATGGGTTGTTAGTTTACGGGCCGGGACGGGGGGAGGGGTTACGGAGAGTCTAGTCGGGAAGGAAGGTAGGTGTTCGAGGCGTTGTCCTCTCTCTCTCTCTCTCTCTCTCTCTCTCTCTCTCTCTCTCTCTCTCTCTCTCTCTCTCTCTCTCTCTCTCTTTCTCTACTGTCGAGTACTCTTTTCGGGCCAGATTTAGGTGCGATGGTCCGATGACCTTTGCCTCCCTTGCACCACCTTGCGTGTTTGGTCTCGTTGCGGCAAACAATGATGATGATATTTTATATGTGTATGTCACCTTTTTTTTTTTTTCAGGAACCGAAACGAGCGATAAGGGAGTCCTTCGTGTCTCTGGACGAGCAGTTCTTGTTGCTGGCGGGGGAAAGGGAGTGGTACAGCGGAACTACTGTGCTGGTCGCCTTGATGAGAGGGAGGTAAGAGCCCCCCCCCCCCCCTGGTCCGATGAGAACCCGGCGTGCTCCGTCCCGGCTTTGTAGGGATGCGAGGTCAATGGTCTAATGACTACGGCATGGCACGACTATGAGTATACCCCCCCCCCATCAATCGACCCATGGCACAGCAATCACAAGGATGATGACCAGCTTCTGGTTCATGCTTGTCATCTCGTTTGGCACAGCAACCGCACGGATAACCACCAGCTTGAGGTTCGCATCCTTGTATGCGGTTTGACATGCGAGGGCGTTTACCAGTTTCTGGTGCATCCTTGTCATGTGGTTTGGCACAGCAATCGCAAGGGCAAAGACGAGCGTCTGGTTCACATTCTTGTGAAACGTAGCATCCTGTAGCCTGGGCCAGCGAAAGCCCGGCATGTCGTTCCGTCCTCGTATTGTAGGGGTGCCAGGTCTATGGTCTAACGACTACGGCATGTGTTTACATGAGCACACCTCTTCTTCTGTTGTTCAGAAGTTTAAGCAGGGTAGCGGTTTGGCAGTGTTGGTGAGGGGAGATGTAAGAGGGGGTTGTCGATCTGTTTGGCGCGTGCTGAAAGAAAATATATAAAATCATGAGGTGTGCGATCAAGACCAACAATCAAGATGGATCTCTCTAATTGGTCGTCGAAGACCTTTCGAAAACAGCCTTTTTTGCGTTTCCAGCAGAGATCGATCCCCCATCCCACCTTCCTCTTCTGTTGTTTGGGCGAGTCATTCTAGAGCACCCCCCCCCCCTAGCCCCCGGCTTGGGTCCGCTACTTGGAAATGTGTGGAAACGGTATCTGCATGCAAGCCATTGTGTGGACGTCGACATCATTTCTCAGCGACGTAATAGTCTCATGCCTTCACGGCCGAGTGGGTGACAGGACGCACTCCCAGTGCTGGAGAAAAAGTAAAATAACTCCTTCGCTTGTCTTCTTCCCCCTTCTGTTGTTTGGTGTATCGTTCTAAAACAATTTTCCAGAAAACACGTGCGAAAAAATTCAATCACGATCGACGTCTAGAATGGAACGACGCACACTCACACTCTTCTCTTTGTATTCCAGGAGCAGGATACTGCTGTCGTCCAACTCCTCCCCCCCCCCCCTCCTCCTTGTCGGTAGAACCCTTACAATTTAACCCTTAACCCCCTTCCGTTAGAACGCATGTGTTCGCATTTTATTTTCCCTCAACAAGGACTGACTGTCGATCCCAGTTCGAAGGACACATTTCCTTTGCAAGCCCTTTCCGTTCCGTTTTCAGCCGCACTGAGACTGACGTCTTTTTGTTGGGCAGCAACCAGTTAGCGGCGTCGATGTTTTTTCGAAACACAACACAATCAAGGTTTTTTTTTATCACGGTACAATATGAGACTGACGGTCTTTTCATTGGTCAGCAGCGCGCGGTCGATGGCGATATTTAATCTAGACACGCACTTTTTTTTTGCTGCTGACGATGGCACGACGGTACTAGTAGTACGTTTTTAGAAATACGCGCACGATCACAGAGGCTGCCGGCTAGAGATAATATGTACCACAGCCGAAGTGGAGGTGTGGGAGGGAACCCGACCGGAACCGCACTAATTTTAATTTTTCAAAGTCTTTTGACAAGCTGAATCATCATTTTATGCCTTGTTTTTTCGTGTACGGTACTTTGCTGCTGTTGCAGGAAGCTGCTGATTGGAAACGTGGGCGATGGGGAGGCGGTTCTCTGCAGGGGGGACGATGTCGTGCACATGTCCCCGGTGCACGACCCCGCACGTCCGTGCGAGCACGATAGGATTATTGCAGCCAACGGATGGGTCACCACAGAGCGGGTTCGTTCCTCGCTTTATTTTTATTTTTATTTTTATTTTATTTCACCTGCGGAAGTGCATACGTGTAAAAATGGCGATAATTGAGGAAAATGAACGTCCTTCTGCGGGAAAAAGAAATCGGAGATCGATCGAATTGCGCCGACTTTTTTTATTTTTCGCCTTCGGGAGGTGCATAAACAGGAGGCAGATGGATGACCTGGTGCGAAGCGTGGGCAGAACAAATGAAGGATTTGCGACATAGAAAAGTGCCAATGTTTGAGGGAAACGAACAACCTTCGGAACGAAGTAAATCGGAATTGCGCCGCCAGGATGAAGGCCATGCAACCCCCCGACGTACTTCGTGGGAGTTATTTTATTTTTATTTTTATTTTTTTCTTGATATGACACAACGAATCCATCTCTATGGAGTTATTGTAGCTTGTCAGAAAAAAGTGTGTACCAAGATACACAATCCTCTACATAACGGCTTGCGGTTCGAGAAAATACCCCGTCCGAAGGGATACATGTGTATTTTTTTCATTTATTTCGGCTCTTTTCACTGTTATTTTTTGGCTCTTTTCACTGTTATTGGTTTGTGTTAGGTCTCTTTCCCTGCCTTTTTGAGAACAGAGACGAAGAGGTGTACTGGGTTTCGGGACGTGTATGGGTAGTTATAGTGTCTGATGACAGTTGCATCATCACGTGATGACTTCTTGCCAAGACCACTGTATTAGCTTTTGCTTAAAGACGCACCCCCCTCCTTGCATGTCTTCATCCCCACACACAATGACCAAAAAATGAGTAAACATAGACACTCGTAGTGACGTATTCTCATTGGTGAGCCAGTTAAGTCGGTCGATGCTATTAGTTCGTGCCCCTCAAATTCTATCCCATGCGTGTTTTTTTGTGCGAAAATTGCCCGACACGCAGGAGCTGTTTCTGCGACAGCTCAAGCAGATGGACCTCGACGACCCGCAGATCAGAATGGCAGCAACCGAACATGTCCGATGGACCACGATCACCAGGTGTGCGTCTGTTGTTACTGTTTTTGTTGGTTAAGATGTGGTGGTGGTGGTTGTTGTTGTTGTTGTTGATGTTGTTAATGATGGTGGTGGTGGTGTTGTTGTTCCGATTGTTTGTTGTTGTCATTTCTGGCTCTGTAGAAAATAGATAATAGCCTCAATCAAGACAAGACTACCCTCTCGAGAAAATACCCCGTTCGAAGGGACGTGTTGAAGTGTACACAACACCAGTGGACGGTTGAGGAGCACACCTTGCTGCTGGATGATGCTCAGTAGCCTTCTTCCCAGGGTTTTTCGTATTTTGTAAACATGTTGGATAAAGCATGCAATCAATCGGGAAAGTTGGGTTGGGGTTGGGGTAGAGTAGGGTCTGCGTACCCCTCCCTGTAATATTTCCTCATAAACTTTTGTTAAAGTAAACATGTTGGATGATACCACATGCAAACGCGGAAGTTGGGTTAGGGGTATACTGCAGGGTCTGCGTACCCCCCCCCTCCCTGTTCTAATCCTCATATGCTTCATTTCTCGCGAAGGCGGTTCATGATGCTGGACGTGATTCGATCTATTTATTTATTTTTTGTCAGTCCTTGCACTGACGAAAAAGCAGTTGTACCAGCAGGAACAATAAAATATTGTTGGTTGCCGCCTCAACTGTTTTTGTTTGTTTGTCCGGTCGACACACTAATAGTAGCTTGCTCTTCCGCCACGACAGCGTTAAGGGTTAATGGGTAAGCTGTTGTGTTTTGTGACGCTTGCTTATCGTCGAGCACCGGAGAGGCTTTTTTTGTTTTGCTTCACACGACACCCGCCGTGGACAAGCGACAAGTGATCTCGAGAGGATTGCTGCTGCTGCTGCTGCTGCGGCTGCTGTTATATTTTATGGTAGACGTTTTGCTTTGTTGCATCGCCCCCAAACCTTTGACGGAATAATCCTTGCTCCCTCATCCTTTTTTCGTCTCTCTTCCACCTAGCAGGACCCCCCCCGCTCCCCCCACCCCACTCTCTCCCTCTCTTTTCTCTGTCTCTCGTTCTCTCTGGTACTCACAAACACACACACTTTTCTCGCTCTCATACACAAAACACTCAACACACTTTTTTCTCACCCTCTCTCTGGCGTTTTTTTTTTATTGTTTCTGCAGAGTTTGCGGGGAGCTAGCGGTGTCTCGATCCATCGGCGACCGTGACTTCAAGGGTTTCACCAAGAGGAGGGTTGAGCAGGGCACGGACGGAGTAGCTCCAGAAGACGTGAGCGAGGTCTACTCGACCTGTCAACCGCACTACTGCACAACTCTAAATCGCAAGCAACGACACTCGTTAACGCCGGAACCCGACAAGCGTGCTCAGCTTCCACCACGCACCCTTTGGATGTCTCAATGGCTCTTGAACGGTTCGACCGTACGTATCTATGTATTACACCTACTACTCACAGCAGTAGTGTGCGTGGTCACGAATTTCTTGTGTCTTGTTGCTTCTCCTGGGTAACTAATCTAGCATTGTTTGTTCCACGCCAGCGGACCGGGTAGGCTTTGGCCTGTGACCACGGCAGGCGTACGAGTCAGTTGTTAGAAAGCATTTGTCGGAGACCGGAACGATTTTTGTGTTGAGACAACAAGATGAAGATACCGGTATGCAAGAGGGATACACCTTAGCTCTCCCGTTTGCAGCCAAGGAAAACTGGATGTACCTCACTCAGGCCTGCAGCAAGACTAGCAGCACTGAATAGTACGAAGTATTTTTTTGGTCTTTTTGGTTCGATGATGTTTCGCTGTGCTGTTGTATTCAAAATCTCGTCAGCGTTGTGACTTGTTGAGCTTGAGAAAGGTCACACCGCAGCTGGCAGTCAGCCCTGTGTGAGTTAGTCCTGCTGCCTGCTTTTGCATCATCACCCCCCTTGACGGCCACGAGCCAGCCCACTCCCGACGGATCACTTGTAAACATCATAACCTTTGGCGTTCAAAACGAAAACCAGATGCCGGTCTTGCCTTTGGCGTTCGAAAAAAAGAACCAGATGCCGGTGTTACCTTTGGCGTTCGAAAACAAAAAACCAGATGCCGGTGTTACCTTTGGCGTTCGAAAACAAAAACCAGATGCCGGTGTTGTTCGCGTGGCCACACGGACACTCGGGAGAGTTTCACGACGACCTCCTCACGGCGGAGCCTGAGTTTCAGGAGGCGGAGATAGGCCTGGACGACGAGTTCTTGCTGATGGCGTGCGACGGGCTGTGGGACGTGCTCGGCAAGCGCGAGGCGGTCGACTACGCCAAGAACTTCTTTGACGAGGTGATGGATCAAGTGTACGGTTAGCGATCGCACGCCTACGGCGGTTAGCGGTGGAACTCTGAGGGCGGCTAGCGGTCGCAGAACTTGACGGTTGAGGAGTTCATGCTTGATGCTCAAACGTTATATGGACACAGGAGAACTTGGGGGATCACTTGTGAGCCCGGTGAAGAACCTCTACATTAACAATTGATACATGTCTAGAACATCCACCGTCCCGTTCTGCTGCTGTGAAGCAAGACGGGTAAGGCAGCCGGTGGGACGGGTTTTAGAAGGTGCCAGTACAACAGTACTGAGGAGAAAGCGGAACGGTTTTTGTTGTGAAGACGACAACAACCGAGAGGCTCAAACACATCCTCTCTGATGTTTCTCGCACACGTATGTATGCATAGTTAAACCAACCCCCCCCCCCCCACACACACACACACGAAGGAGGACGAAGACGACAACTCCTTCGATGTAACGTTATTTTCATCATGAGACCACGGTGCCCCTATCCCCCCCCCCCCCCCGGGGGTTGTCATCGGGGTTGGGGTTTTCTCCCTTGGGAAAGACATTGTAAAAAAAACCGCCCCCCCCGGGGTTGGCACCGGGGATGGGGTTAAAATTGGGAAACCGGGGACCGGTTTTTTTTTTTTTAACCCTGGTTTTTTTTTTTGGGGGGAAACCAAAAGGGGGGGGAGAAAAAAAATGTGGGGGGGGGGGAAAAAGCCCCCTCCCCCCCAAGGGGGGGAACCCCCCCCCCTGTGGTAAAAAGGGGAAGCGTCCCCCGGGGGGCAGTTACACAGGGTTTAAAACTGTTTTGGGAAGGGAAGGCCCCAGAAAAAAAATAAATTCATAGGCGGGGTTCTTTGGTACCCAGGGAAGAAAGCCCAAGAGCCGGAACCCCCTTAGCGGGAGGCGGCCCCCCCTTCTGGGGACTCGCGGAATCCCCCAGGGGGTTTCGGCTTGGGGGATGGGAGACCCGGGTCGGGGGAAACCCGGGGGGGCCCCGCCCCGGTTTGGGGGGGAGGGGGGGCAAAGGGTTAAAGGATTCGGGCAGGCAGGATTAGGGGTCCCCCCCCCCCCCCCCCCCCTAACCGAACACCAACCACCGCCACCGCCGCCACCCTCCCACAACCACTACCATCCCCTCTTACCGCTACCGCTGCCATCGGGGAGAGAAGGATGAGACTGACCGAGACCACGTAGTGGGCCTTGTGCAGGCTTCGGTCGTTGCGGACCTGGCAGAAGGTGAAGTCACCGGCGGCAGCGGCGATGCCTCAGCGGCGGCGGCGGCATCAGCAGCCGACGAAAGACTCAAAGGGGGGGGTGGGGCCGGCGGCGGCGGCGGCGGCGGCGAAGGGGGGGGAGGAGGCCCGTCTTCGACGCCGTCACCCCCTCGACATTTGTCCCCCATGTCGTTCGGGTCGCCCTTGCCGGGGGCGCCCCCGCCCCAGAGGCTGAGCGACATCCTGGCGCTGGACGGGATGATGGGGAGGCCGTCGCATGGCGACGCCTCTTCGTCCGTGTGCGCCGAGGTCGGCTCGAGAACAGGGAGAGGCGGCGGCGGTGCCGGCGGCGGTGCCAGCGGGGGCGGCGGCGACTCAGACATGGAGGCGTCCTCCTCCTCCCACTCTTCCTATTCCACCGCCGCCGTTGTTAGCTCCGCCTCCGCCGCTGCTGCTGCTGCCGCGGTACCAGGCTCCGCCGGCGGGGCGGG